TAGCCTAAGGGTGCAGCACGGGAGAGGTGCAAAAAAGGGGAGAAAATTGGCAAGACATAGTTTAAATATCAGGTCTGTTCTATAAAAACTTTTCTGGCAGTTGTCCATGTGGTGTTGGATGCTTTCAACTTAGTTGCAAGTTAGAGGCTGATAACAGTTTGACAGTGATAAATTGAGTAATCAGAATTGCAATAATGGATGGTCTTCTGTTCAGAGCCCCTAGTCTATTAATATGCACGTCAAATTTATATCACTTGTTATAGAGTTTCAAGGAATTGTTACAATGATGATTGCATCATATGGATATTTTTGTTAATTTTCTATTTTCCTTTGTAATTATGTTGCCTTAACTACATAAATCATGACATACTTGCTAAAGATAAAGTGTCTGTTGTTTTCCACGTATTGAACTAAATTAAAATAGAACTAATGGTCTGTGCTTTGTGATAAGGAAGGCAAGAAAAAAAGGGAAAATTTATGTGATAGTACTGTTAAAATGTTGCAGAAAAGTATGGGTAGAAGGCTTACGGGTGGAATTTTGAAAAGTGTGTAAGTGATTTAAGAGAACAAGTGTCATTGAAAGTCCAGTGGTCATTTTCAAAATCCCATCCTGAATTTTTAATCCACTGTGTATGCCATTTCCTAGAGGAGAATTTGAAACACTTACTGGGCAGATAATAAGCCTTTTTAAACAGCTGTTATTGCTGATCACATGCCTCTCTTCTTGTGTGATGTGATATGCCAGTTGCAGTTAGGGTTGTTAGAGAATAGTCGAGTGGAATACTCTACTACTCACATTCCCACCCCTTTGCTACCTTGGTATGAGAGGCAACAGGGGAGGGGGGAACAGGAGACGGTGCTGGGAGGAGTGGGCTTAAAAGGGCAGAGGTTTGGGGAGGTGGATAAGGGAGGCTGCTCCAGCAGCAGCCCCTGTTTGCAGCAGCCTGGCCGCAGCCCTGCAGGGGGCCATGGCCAGTCCTGGCCACTGCGAACAGGGGCTACTGGACTGGCTTGTGCTGGTATGGGATGCTGCGCCTCTGCATTTTAAACCTCGTAAGAGCCTGGTGGCTCTTACTGCGTTTAAAATGCAGAGCTGCGGTACGAGTGGCTCCTGGAGTTGGCACGAGCTGGGAATGCTGAGTCCTGACTCAAGCCAGCTCCAGGAACTACCTCCACTACATCTCTGCAGAGCTGTCCTTATTGACTAATCATGTTGTCGATACATATTGTATTAGCCAGATGACCACAATTTAATATCCTTAGTTTCAGTCCAGCTGAGATTCTTGAGTTGAAAATTTTGCCTTAACTGGCACTCTGGAAAAAATCTGGCAAAAGGGGTTTTACAGAGACTGTCTTTGATTCTAGTATGTAGCACTGTGAGCTGTGTTGACTCCATCTATGTACTTGAAGTTCTGGAACTCCCTCTGAACTGGCAAAATTCCCAACCGGGAAATTAAAAACCAAAATCTGTAGTGGTTACTGAACGAAGAAGGGATGTTCATTATTATTACTTAGCAACTAGAAGCCTCTACTGAGATCAGGTTTCCAAGTGTGCTGAAAATATTCATGATAGATAAGAGTACTTACTCCAAAGTTGACATGCAAGACGGTGTACAGTGGTGTTGTAGCTGTGCCAGTTCCAGGATATTAGAATGAAAAAGTGGGTGAGGTGATACCTTTTTTTGGACCAATTTCTGTTAGGCAAAGTGACAGGCTTTTGAGCTGACACAGAGCTGTTCTTCAGGTCTGGTAAAGATACTCGCAGAGTTGCAGCAAAAGGCAGAGTGGAATAGATTGTTTAGCATGAGCAGTAAGTATGTATTGTGAGCATTCAAATTAGTGTCCCAGGGATGCCCTCTTAACACTTCTGAAGTGACAGGACAAAAAAACGGAGGTAAGTGGATGACAGAAAGTAATGTTATAAATTCAACATGTCTGTGTAGTCTATGGATGTGAAGGTTTAACCGGTTAACCAGTAAGCCTCACCCTTAACCAGTGAGGCTTACCAGTTAAGGTTAACCTGTGGGGGCTGGAACAGCTTCTCGCCTGCTGTGGACTGGGGGCTGCTCCAGCCCCATGGGGGACCCACCACAGGCAGGGGCTGCTCTGGCTAGGCTGGAGCAGCCCTTTCCTGCAGGGGGCGGGGGGAAGAGGCGCTCCAGCTCAGCAGCAGGCAACGGAGCCGCTCCAGCCAATGAAATGGGCTTTTCAATCCCTACTGTAGTCTGATTTTTAGTGTGCAGCAGGGTAACAGATTTAAGCTCCCAGACTTGTCTTTTGAAAGTGTTATGCAGGTTTCCTTTGAGGAAGGGGACTGAGAGGGTCAGACAGAGTGATCGCTTTGTGAAAAGTATTCTTCCACAAATGATAGGGTGTTTTTGTCATTTTCCTGTGTGAGTTCATTTGAGAGTGTAGTGATAGTCTGCTTTCTCCCAAATAGTTGTTATTGAGGTATTTTGTGCACTGGATGAGGTAGAGCATACGTTGGATAGGCATGTATAGGACCCTTGGATTTTCAAAGGTGTGAGGGGGGTGTTGATCATTGTAGCCATGGAGCTAGGTTTTGCCAGGTCACCTTGCATATTGTATGTTTTGCGAGGTCACCTTGCATATTGCTGTAATCCTGGAAGTATCTTTCCAAGAAAAGAAGAATTGCTATGTGTGGCTGGAAAGCATGTTTCTCTCTCCAGCAAAAGTTGGTCCAATAGAACAGTGGTTCCCAACCTTTTTTGTACCGTGGACTGAGAAACCCATTCCCAAAGTTTTGGCGGACCAGCAACATTTTATTTGCATATTTTCATACTCATTATGGTATAAAAAGCCCCAGCTCCCAGAACCCCCCACTGCCAGCCCTAACTCCTAGAGTCCCCAAACCTCTACTACCCCTTCAGTACCAGCCACTGACCCCAGAGTCACCTGCACCCAATCCCTCCAGTGCCAGCTTCCCACCCTCAGAGCCCCCCCGGTGCCAGCACCCTGCCCTTTAAAGCGCCCCACCACCAGAGCCCCCCAGTGACAGCCTCCTGTTTCCAGAGCCCCATTGCACCCAACCCCCGTACCTTCCAAGTGCCAGCCCCAAGTCCCCAATATTAGCTCCATCCCCAGTCCAACCCCCTGCTCCCATAGCCCCCTCTCTACTAGCCATGCCTCCAGAGCCCCCCAGTTCCAGCTCCCTACCCAGGACACCCCAGAGCCTCCCAGTATCAACCCCCCATCTTTTAGAGCTCCCCACCCCTTAGAGCTCCCCAGTACTAGCCCTGCCCTCAAAGCCTCCCAGTATTCCCCTCCAGTGCCAGCCCCCTGCCTCTTAGTGCCTCCTACCCCCAGAGCCTCCCAGCACTAGCCCTGCGCCGAAGCCCCCACTACTTGTCCCACCCTCCTCATCTAGCCCTGTGCTGCCGCCAGCTGTATGCTATTGCCCAGATCAGGGCTGCTCTAAGGCTGGTGTGCCGGGCTCCTTGCAGCCCTCCTGTGGTACAGTGAACTGCTCTTCTGCAGCTGGGACGAGCCCCTACCTCTGTCCGGCGCTAGTTGGCTGAGAGGTGGGAAAGGACACACCTCTCCCAACAGCCGTGGTGGGAGGGGCCTGCCGGGCAGTGTATCCTTTGCCCCCCACCATTTGCAAGCCTGTACCTCACCCACCTTGTCTCTCACATTCAACACATATAGACAAAAGGCTGTGGGGAAAAAAATATTATCACACTTTACAGAAAGGTGGTTAATGCACATAGAGATTAAATGACTTGCCCAGTGTCAGACCGGATCTCTGTGGCCAAGCCCGGAATTGTTTCTAAATCTTTCAAATCTTAGTTTAGTTTGTTCATGTGCTTTTTTATTGTATGTATAGTGTCTTTAAGTTGCTGGAGGGCTTTAATAAACTGAATTGTTACTTGTGAGAGTCTTTGTTTTCCCATATGCAAATGATTATTTATTTGAATAATCTGTTCATTCATTATTAATCCCAAAATAAGCAGTCCGCCTTCCGCAAACCTAACTGGAAATGTAAAAATGTAACTGTCAGATATGTTTAGAATCTGGTGACTCCCTGACCCCCAGTTACAGTAGTTAACATTTGTGATGTCTTTGGAAGCCCTGTAGTGACCATGTGTAGCCGGGTTAAAAGTCAGTTACAACATGATTAGGTCATAACCGTCCCACACATGTCAACAGTATTTGAAACAGGCATCCTGTCATTGTTATTTATATTAGCAGAGCCAAAATGCACTGAGGTATTCAGACAGTGGGATCTATCTTTAAATATACTTTAAAAAATTCTAAATAGGCAACTAGCAGTGTCATGGAGTGAGTAAAACCTGGATTCAGTTAGCTAAACCATTTATTGATTTTCAACACTTCAGCAGGTAAAATAACTTTTGTTTTAGAATCCTCATTGGTAAAATCTCAATAATACTTGCCCAACTTTGTAAAGTGATTTGAGATTTGCTGATACTAGAAAGCAGGCTATAAGTATAAAGTGATGGTTACTATGATTACTTTATAGAGATATCTGCTTATGTGTAAGTGTAATATATTGCAGGAGAGTAGTTCCAGAATAAGCTGAAACTGCAAATGTTGCCTGGTTTAAATGCATTTCGGCTGATTGCAAAACTTTGTTAAACTGCCTTTATCCTTTTCCTGTAATTTTAGATATTGTCTGAAGAAGGCACAGCTGGCCTGATTTTTAGTAGTGTTGAAGTCACTGGGAGGCAGGCTATGGGTGGTCAGCTCTGAAAATCAGTTCCACATGTTTCAATAGATTTGTAAGATTGCCTCCTTATTTTGGCTTTCAAATTGTATTAAAACAATGTTTACTAACTAAAGTGAAAAGAGAAATTTATCAGGAATATAACCAGTACAAAGCAGTAGACAAACTAAGGTGTTTCTTAGCACTTCATGTGGCTATTACCTCCCCCCTCCATCAGCTTCTCCCCTGCCCAGTATTGATCTGGAAAGTCCCAGTAAATGCAAACAGTAAATGCTATTCTTGTCTCATTTTGCAGGCCTAAACGGCAACAACCAAACAACTTTTCCCTGTTTCCATCCACAAAAGGCTGGAATTTCAGAGGGGTAAGTTTGTTTGTTTTTTATTGTTTATGTTCTCTCCTTCATACATTGCTGTGTACCCCCACCACAATTTATTCTGCAATTAAAAAATGCGAGGAGTTGGAATTAGAGTAAAATTAATTCAGGGAATTTTCTTATAAAATTTGGTTATATTCATAAAAAATATTTAAAAATTTCACTGAATTGAAACAATAGCGTTTATTTTAATGGTATTTTTCATTATATGGGAATATGGTTGGGCAATGATGATAAAAACCACATAGATCTCCTGGCCCAAGATTGGGTGCCAAAAGGTCCTAATTTCTATTGTTATTCTGCCAGTGATTTGCCTGAGCAAGTCACTGAACTTGTGAGTCTCAGTTTCTCCTTTGTAAAATGGGATAGTAATAAATATTTAATAAGATAAATACAAATTGTACAATTCTCTGCTGTTTTTCCTGCAAACCCTATATTCATAGTATATTGATTTTTTTAAAATCTATTTGTGTGTGAGTTATATCTAAGATTGCATCACTCTGAGAGGAAGTCACAATATTTTATCTTCTTACAACTTTTGGTTGAAAAACTGGTCTGTTTTTTAAATTTCTTCAGACAAATATTCCCACACGGTAGTCCAGCCTAAAAGGATACTGGATACGAAACAGGAAGGTTAACATTTGCTGAGGCAGCAGAAACTATTGTCAGATTTGTCTGCTGTAGCTCTGAAAGATATCCAGCTAGTCGCTTTCTTCAAAGGAGGAATTTAATTGTTTTGTCTATACAGTAAATGCTTTAAAGTGACATGAAAAAAGATATAAATAAATTGTGGCTATAGTGATGATCCTGGAATAGACGTGTGTGTGTGTGTGTGTGTGTGTGTGTGTGTGTATTTATAGTAGTTTAATGGAAGATTGTGTAGAAAGGATTTCTTTTATGTATAGTACTAGATTTACCCGGCATTGCTTGGGTCCTTAATTCAATTATTTTTTGTTAATTAATGCCAGGTAAGTCTTCTACCATTTTTATGTAATTAAAATAAAACTAAAATACTTTGGTAAAAGTGTTTCTGAGTTTTCATTATACTATTTGCATTATAGTCAATTTGGACACTGTAAATAGACTAGACAGTTCACTCTTGATTGTAACCAGTTTTGTATTTTCATAATTTGGCTCTGACACTTTCACAGGATGCTGCAACATTAGGATTACAAATGTTGCAGTGTGTTCTTCTCTTAAATAAAACTTTGCACAAAACTATAAATCATAGAATCATATCACAGAACTCTAGAACTGGAAGGGACCTTGAGAGGTCATCGAGTCCAGTCCCCTATCCTCATGGCAGGACCCAGTACCGTCAAGACTATCCCTGATAGATGTCTATCTAACCTGCTCTTAATTATCTCCAGAGATGGAGATTCTACTACCTCCATTGGCAATTTTTTCCAGTGTTTAACCACCCTGACAGTTAGGAAGTTTTTCCTAAAGTCCAACCTAAATCTCCCTTACTGCAATTTAAGCCCATTGCTTCTCGTCCTATCCTCAGAGGCCAAGGAAAACAATTTTTCTCCCTCCTTCTTGTGACACCCTTTTAGATACTTGAAAACCATTATCATATCCCCTCTCAGTCTTCTCCTTTCCAAATTAAACAAGCCCAATTCTTTCAGTCTTCCTTCATAGGTCATGTTCTCTAGACCTTTATCTTTCTTGTTGCTCTTCTCTGGGCCTTCTTCAGTTTCTCCACATCTTTCTTGAATGTGGCATTATTCCTGCATAATAACACTTGTTTCTAAATTTGGAACTGTAAGGATTCAGGGAATCCATGTACAATTTACAGTTCTGGTTGATAAGAAATTATTGAATCATGGGAAGCCTTAGAGGATGTGGAGTAAATCAGCTGCTGCCACAGCTGTTGTAGGTCCCTCCTGGATCAGGTGATGTGATCAGTCACTTTGGAACAATGGGTAGCTGCTGCTTAACAGCCCCCTGAGATATTTTTGGAATGAAAAGTGTTGCATTATCATCATTCTCTATGACTAGATGATGTGATGTTTCCCAAATATGGAACAGAAATGTTTGATTACTCTGCGGTTTTGCTGAAAATGATTGTGAAATGATAGATTTAATGATTTTAAGGAAAGGAAGGAATAAGAGCAGCCAAATAAGGACAACAGACTTCCAAAAAGCAGAATTCAGCAATCTCAGAGAAATGGTTGACAAGGTCCCAGAGAAGAAAATCTAATGGGTAATGGAGTTCCTGAGAGCTGGCAGATCTCAAGAAGACAATACTAGAGGCACATCTGCAGACTATCTTGCTGTGAAGGAATGATAGGAAGACTCATAAGAGGCCCATATGGGCCTCTTATCAGGAGCTCTTCAATTACCTGAAAACCAAAAAGAAATCCTACAAATTTGCTAAAGAGGAATTCAGAAGAACAGTAAAAGCACATAGGGACAAAATCAGAAAGGCTAACACACAAAATGAGTTACTCTTAGCAAGGAACATAAAAGGCAATAAGACTAACATCTTTAAATAAACTGGGAGTAAGAAAAAGTCTAAAATATAGGGCCTCTATTTAGTGGGGAAGGATAGTTAGTATGTAATGACATCAAGACGGCTGAGGTATTTAATGCCTGCTTTGCTGTAGTCTTCACTAAAAAGGTTAATGGTGACCAGATACTCAATACAGTATTGTAATAAGCCAACAGATGGCACCCATGTAAGTCCTGGAGGATCAATAGCTTGAAGGGGCAAAATGACAGAAGACTCCATAGCAGTTTGGAGGAGCTTGAATGCAGGTGCCATCTTGGCTATAGTAACTTGGTGGGGGGGGGGGCACTGTGTGAAAGGAAAAAGAACAATGTTGCTTTGAGTGTACATCTGCCAGGGAAAAAGGACTTATGACAGACGGTGTCAGACTGACTTTGTCAGCACTTTGGACTTGAACTGGCAAGTGCCTGAGGGAAGTGAAGTCTGAGTAACCAAGGAGCAGCATTCCACCTAAGGTTACCACCTGTCCAGTATTTGATCAGTTTGGCTATTTTTTATTATTTGCTAGTTCCCAGAAAAATAATGTATTCTATGCTAATATTTTTACCAAGAATGTTGTATGAAAGATATAGAGGTGATTGTCTCATTCACTCAGCATTGATGAGGCCTCAGCTGGAGTAGCGTGTCCACCGTGTTTTAGGTAAGATGTGCACAAATTGGAAAAAGTCCACAGGAGAGCAACAAAAATGATAGGTTTAGAAAATTTGGCCTACTCAGAAAGGTTAAAAAAAACCTGAACATGTTTACTCTTGAGAAAAAAGAACTGGTGGGGGACCTGATAAGTTTTCATTTATGGTAAAGACTGTTACAAAGACGATGGTGAGTGGTTCTTTCTGATGTCTACTGAAGGAAGGATAAGAAGTAATGGACTTAATCTTTAGTAAGGGAGATTTAGTTTAGATATTAGGAAAAACTTTCTAACTATAAGGGTAGTTAAGCTCTGGAATAGGCATCATTGGAAGCTTTTAATAAAAGATTGGATGAGATGGCTTAAATTGATTTTGTCCTGCCTTAGTGCAGCAGGCTGAACTTGATGTCCTCTTAATGTCTCTTCAACTCCTACATTTCTATAAGTTGTCATGGGATAAGAGGGAAGATCCTTTCATGAACTGATAGCTGGTTAAAAGACAGGAAACAAAGGGTAGGAATAAATGTTAAGTTCTTCTTTGAATGCTGTCCCCGTGGGTGCTCCTCTGTCAGTGCTGGGCCTGCCCCAGCACTGCAGAACGGAGATTTTTCCAGTAGCAGTACTCAGTCGGACCATGCAAGCACGGTGATGTCTTGCAGCATTTGCACTCTTTTGTGTGAGTGCGTTGTCCGGCCCCCGCCAGTTCCTCTCAACTGCCTCAGGCTGCAGACAGAGTGAACTGGTCTCCTCAACTTCCTTCCTTATTGTGAGATTGTTCTTGTTAAAAATTACTATTCTTCCTGGTTTTACTTCTTCCTATCATTCCTCCTAGTTTTCAAACAAAACAAACAAACAAAAAAACCAATCTCAAAGTTTTTCCTCTCCCGTTCCTACATCCGTTTTTCCTCCGATCCCCTATGTGCTGTTGTACAGAGTTATATCCAGGGCTCGACAAATAATGCAATCTACTTGCCCGTGGTGAGTAGATGCAACCCAGAAGAGCCGGGTTCGGGCGATCTGCGCATGCGCAGAACGATCTGTGCATGCGCAGATCACCGGACAATGCAGCTGGTGAGCGGGGCTCACCACGGTTATATCAATAAGATAGAGATGGTGTCAGGTTCAATCAAAAAAATTATTGAATCTTTTCCTCTTAAAGATTAGAAATGCCATCTCCAGCCAGCTTTAAGAAGTGCGACACTTGCTGTGAGGCAATGCCTACCTCTGACGGGCATTCCTCTTGTATCCACTGCCTCAGGGACGCTCATGTCCCACAGAAGTGCCCACACTGCACAGAATTGACAGTAAGGGCCCAACGGGACAGGGAAATGAGGCTATGGATGATTTTGTTTGATAAAGCCCTCCAGCTGACGCACTAGGAGTCAGCCTCAGCAGATCAGTCCCCAAAATGTAGGACTTCATCTCCTACAGCTATTTCGCCCAAAAGATCGCGGGCATCACCGGCCAGGTCTTTACCGGCCACCTTGCTCGGCAGAGTTAGCACGGGAGATAAGACCAGTACCTCAGGCACCACTAATTCGTGTCTAAAGAGCTCTGCAGCACCGAAAGCCAAAAGACCGGGAGAAGCGGCACCGACAGCAGCACTGAGGGTTGCCTTGGCACCGCCCGCTACTAAACTCCCAGCACCGAAGGACTCCTCCATGCGGAGGTCATCATTGGCGTCAGCGGTGGTGACTTTGGCACTGGTGCCCACCACTGTTTCAGAGCGGGGGTTGGCACCAGCGGCGCCAACTCCGCATACGGGTGGCACTGAATCACACATCTCAGCACCGAGTATTCCTCCACACTGGAGTCGTTCCCGATCACCGGTATTTTCACCAGCACTGT